TGCAGTAGTTTAGAACACAGTGGCGCCCTGCTTTACAATTGTCAAAGGATTTTACTCTTTGCCTTTTGCATGCCCTGGGAAGCTCAGCTTTGTCTAATATTTTGTAAGCACGTTATTATTTAGTCAGCATTTGACTCTAGTTGTGGTGGGGAAACTGGCAAACAAGCAGGACTTGCAGTGTGGTCTGAAATCTGCCAGGCTGCAGCTGTGCTGCTCGCGAGCTGCCCCACTCTGGCCGTCCCGATGTCACCTGGGGAGCAAATGGCCTGGATGTCGTCTTACACTAAATATGCAATAGAAAATAACCCCTGAAACTGGAAGGTGTTCAGGTACCATAGTGACAGGCACAGTTTGAGAACACAGAAGAGAAAACAGTCTTGCTTAAGGGCTTCAATCAGCTTCCAACCAAGATGATTACAACATTTCCTTGGGGGGCGAGGAATCCTTCAAAGAGAATCAAATCAAAACACCCAGCTGCACGGACGCCCTGGCTCTGAACTGTGTCTGACGTCTTCTGCGCAGGGCTCTGCTCCCTGGCCACCCCAGCAGCACCCTCTCCGGCACGAGTGAAGTGCGGTGCAATTCCCTCTCGCAGCATGGCTCTCCGGTGAGGTGACAGGCTTGTCCTGCCTCGTCTCTGCCGGGGGACACTGCTTCGGCAGCAGGTGCTGGCCTGCCTTAGCCGAGGGGACAGGGCTCCGCTCCCTCAAAGCAAACAGCATTTTCTTCCCACATCACTTCATGCATTTTAGAAACTTTTGGAAGGCCTCTAGCATTTTCACGCATGTTTTGCGGGGAGGAAAGCGAAGAACGAAGGGCGAGGTGGCCCACGTAACGAACACGCTTCATCACAGGCTCTGTCGCTTGGGACCGGAGCCCACCTCGCTGCCGTGACCTGCAGGGACAACTCCCTCAGCCAAGAGCCACAGCACAACAGCCTACACCACCTAAAACTGAATCACCGTTTAAAAGGCTTATTAACTTCCAGCTGCGTTCAGCCTAATTTCCTTTGTGTAACAGTGTGTTTAATTGCAGAGATTCTAATTTACTGTTGCAGAGCACAAGCCCAACTCTAAGGATAAATTAAAATGACAGCTCCATGGGAAGTTCGGAATTTAACTTTCTGACTTATCTGATTTGATGCAGATACAAATATTTAAATCCAGCCAAGGAAACAAACAGCCTGTTTCTAAGAAGTTCCAGCTGGAATGGGGAAAAAGGATTTTGCAGGAAGAGAGGCTGCAACAATTAGTGCACTGTCATACTCCTTGCGGGCACAGATCAGCTAAGCAGAGCTTCAGGGCCAGCACGCTGCACTCCTCCTCTGCAAGACTCATTTGGATTTGGTTTTTTGGTGTTTTTTTCCCCTTTAGTGAAAAATACTTTGCTATATCGAGAATAAGAGGTTTTACTTTTAAGTCTCCTTTGTACAATTTCCCTGTTCTTTTCAAGGGAGAGAGGTAAGCACCAAGCCTGTTGAGCGAAACACACTGAGTCTGGCGTGCGATTTCTGCCAAGAAGGCAATGTTTCTTTTGTTTTTTCCTGTAATCATGACCAACTCTGTGCTCCTGTCTGCAGATTAGGCCAGGATTCATCTCACCCTGCCTGAGCTGGTAAGAGGTGTCCCAGCCCAGGCCACAGTCCCAGCTATGCTCTCTGTAACCCCTGGGGAGAGACGAGCGTCATCTGCAGGCGGTTCATCCCATCCCCACACTGATGCACGTTATTTTTGTTGAGACAGATCGAAGCTAAATTCAAACTGAATTTAAAAAAACAAAAAAAAAAAGAAGATTCATTTTTTATTTTGAACTCTGAAAATTCAGATTTCTAATAATCTGTTTTTTTCAGGCAAATAAACAGAGCGCTCAAATTTTTACTGCAACCGCATCCCGTGATTCAGGCGCAGACCCACGGCGAAGCTGCTGCCAAAGAAAACACTCTGCTTTCGGGATACTCCCTGCCGCTTGCGAGCTCGAGCGAGCAGCCGCCAGAGACGCTCTCGCCGCCCCTCAGGAGGAGGAGAAGGCGGGGCGCTGCGAGCAGTGGAAGCTGTGCCAGCGAGGAGTTTCCAAAGGCGCCCCAGCCGTGCCGTGTCCACCGCCTGCAGGGCAGCAAGCTGGCCCCGCTACCGGTTCTGGGTCAGGCGCGGCCGCGCGGCCCGCCGGCCGCCCCGGGTGGGCAGTCCTGCCGTGCCGGGGCTGGCGCTCACCATGTGCTCGCTGCACACATGGAGGTGTGATGCTGGCACAGGAGCTCCCGGCCAGAGGGGAGGCCGGGCGGCCGGGACGGGCCCAAGGTCGCCGTGACCTTCACCGCCATGGCGGGTGAGCGCCCGGCTGCAGGCTGGCTGACCGATCCGCCTCCTCCCCTCTGCCAGCGCCAGCCCAGCGCTGCCCCACCGACGGACAGACAGACAGACGGACGGACGCAGCAGCGCGCAGGCTGGCCCCGTCCCAGCGCTACGGCCACCCTTGGCCCGTCACGGGCGATGGGGCAGTTCTCCTTTGCGGCACTCCAGGCAGACTACTGGCAGGGGAACTGGTGCTGCACCCGCAGCCCCCGGCCTCGGGGCTTTACTCAGGTTTTGCTCCCGCACACACCTCCTGCACCCCACCTGCGGCTTGCCAGCTCCCAGCTGCCTGCCCCCCGGCCTCCCCTCCCACCCAGCTCAGTGCCAGGCTCCCGCAGCGCCCGGACCCCGCGCGTCCACCACAAAACCAGCTTCATTACCTTTAAGGCCACCTGCAAGTGGGAAGCTGGAGAGACATAGGGACAGCAGAGACATTTGGACAAGAGAGTTCGATTTCTCTGCACTGAAACTGGTGGGAGAAGTCGAGGGCTGCTCCCTGCACGCTCCCCGAAGCCAGCCCAGAAGGAACGCAGGCAACCAGGGAGTTTCGGAGATGCCGGCACTGCACACCTGAGAGGAGCCTCCTTAGCAATTTCTCCTGCAAGCCACGATGTCTGTGGTGCATGCAGGCAGCGCAGCAAGTAAACCAGAGCTGTGCAGATACAGTGACCAGCATACCATACAGATACGGTATGATGGTCCCTGGCACCGGGATGCAAATATTGCAACATTAACCATCAGAACTTCTGCATTTTCACTTCACTGAATGATTAAATACACTGCAATTACACCACCCTGAGGCCCTCTTCAGCCCCAGATGGTGGGCACACAGAACAGCACAGGCACATCAGAGTAGTCAGGTCGACAGACCTGATCCCAGCCATTCTGATTCCCAGAACGGATCCATGCTGGGAAGAGCAATTCAGAGGCGGCACCGAAATGGACCCCGAGCGGCAGAAACCTAAAGCAAACAAAATGCGGTTCTGAATCTGTGAATACCTTCTGGACCACCATAAAGCAGTTTACACTTCCTAAGAGGACATGACAAGAGTTTAATTCCTAGCAATTTACTGAGATATTGGTACATATGCTTGTAGGTAGCACAAAACTGCACTGCTTCTAAGCCTCAAAACATTTCACAACAGATCCAGAGAAGAGGGAGAGGAAGAATCAGCCATCCCCACCGACATCCTCAAAGAGAATTTTAAGCTGTCTTTCAAAAGCACAGAATAAAAATGCTGCCAGAGAGCAGAGTCTGCTCACAGATAGGTCTGCACCTGTATCAATATTCACAGAGCATCAGCTATCACGCCAGAAACAGCTCCCTTCATGACACCCTGACTCAGGACTCAACTCCCAAACGCAAGAGTGGATCATCTGTCTCCCTTACTGCTAATGGAAGCTCATCTCTACCGACACCACCCTGCCCGAAATCTAATGAAAAGCTCAGACCTTTTCTAATGCCTATTAGGCTGCAACACAACCACATCTCCAAAAATGACCTTTTAAAGCAACATAGGTATTTCCTTTTGTTTGCCATCCTCCGGTGGCTGGGTACCATTAGAATTTGCCCCAACCAAAGGCTCTCCAAGGGAAATCGCCGGTGAAGACTAATGAGAAGGGCTGAGCTGGTCTAACTCTGAAAGGTGATGAGTAATTACTGACTCTCCAAAGTAAAGTTGATGCAAGTAATCAATGACCAGTACTTCTGAACATAGGAATGAAATTATATTTGAGAGAGACTGAGGAAAATGGGAAGAAAGCGAGGAAAAGAGATGACACTTTACTGTGGAAAAGCCCATTGTGAACAGTCCTCAGCACCCTTTATTCCAGCCAAAATGTATGAGGTCTATTGGCTCTCTTCATTTGCACTATAAATTTAGTCACTCTTCCATTTTCCAGATGAATTTTCATTGCATTACATGCTATTGATTTCACAGTCACAGAGGACATCTCTAAGAATTTATTTTGTGCTACCATTAACCACTTTTACAAATATTAGATAAGCAAACACTAACACTTACTTCACTCAACCTGCAAAGACCACAACTGAATTTTCTCTTTACTTTTTCCCAGACTCATTCTTGGTACCCCATCCACCTAGAGCTTCATGCTGCAATCCCAAATTCCAGTCTTTCAATGCCTCCAAGCAAATAACCTGTACTTACATCTCCAACTCATCAAGAATTTGAGACATTCAAAACCTTCATGGAAGCCTGTCTGTTTTGGTTAAGCAAACAGAAAACCTCCACCAAAACATATGGATTAGAATTCACCTTAGTCAAAAAAGGAGCAGCTTAAGTTTATACAGCCTGGATGTCCCTCCTTAAGATCGTCTGAATTATCTGTTCTCTGCACCACCATCGCTGGTACGGATGACTTGTGGTTAACTAGGAACATCTAGTATGAGGAGACTGCATGAAGCAAACGTTCCTAGAATATCCAAATGTTCTGGAAATCTGCAGTGATAAATGACTACACTAGCATGGGAGGAGAAGGAGGAATGAGAGTTTTTCTCTGCCCTTTTTCCGTTGCCCTACAGGAAAAAGATAAGTAACTTGCTTTAAGCAAAGTTAGCACCGTTCTCTGGTTTCAGTAGATAAAGTGCTATACAGTGACAGCCAACAGTAACCCGAACGCTATACGTACCTGGATGTATCGCAAGGCACTCCTTAGGACACTGAGGTTTGAGGTCTTCTTGTCGTCTACATTGGGGATGTTGCGTTTTAATGTCTCAAAGCATTCTTTCAAATGCGCACGTCTAAAGAAAACACAGGTGGTTTGTCAGTTTGTGGGAGCACACACCAGAAATCAATTTAGCAGAGGGCTAGAGCTTAATTTGGGCCTTAATCCAGCAAAGCACTTACACATGTGCATAGCAGTCACCAAGACTACCTGCATGCTTACAACTGAACCAGCTCAATCCAGCAGAAAGACTATGGGGTTGTATGCCTGGATTCTAGTCCTAGCTTTGTTAGGAAACCATAGTGCAATCTTAAATTAAATATCTCATCTCCTGTGCTGTCACTTCCACTTTCACCGTATTTCCGATTTAGCTAGTTAGACTTACAAGAGTTTTGGATCAGGAACTGGTCTTTATTCTGAACTCACACTGTGCACTGACCCCCGATCTTGGCTACTTTATTACTTTAAATCAAAAGAGAAGTTACACCGTTATGCACGTGGGGATTTACTTTGCGGGATCAGGGCTTTGCAGGGTTATTGTAATGCAATTACGCAGGTAAGTAAAACAAACTGGGAAGCAAGAGATGCAGAACTGAGCTATAAGAAAGCAAAGCAATACTGCAAGATTCATTAAAAGCCACTAAGAATTTTGTTCAGGTTATTTGTTAAAAAACAAACAAACAAAAAAAAACACCAAAGCCAAACAAATATTGACAGACTACAGGCCAAAAAAAAAAAAAGGAAGGGGAATTACAATTAAAAAAATCAAACCCCTGGCTTTCTACGCACCTGTTCTTCTCCAATTTATTATGTACTTCCCTGGTCCCAACCCTGTAACCCAAACAGAACAAAGATAAACTCAGTGTCAGGTTTAAAACTACTGCCGTTCAACCTGTACTTTCACCAGTGTGTGTGTGTCTAGGATATACAGGTAAATATTAAAAAGCAATAGAGGTGTTCAGATATCACTATTTTAATACAAGTTGCATATATATTTCTACCTATACCGTATCAAGAAAAAATCCATACTTTACATGCATATTAGATGGAATAAGCATTATGCATATACTGCACACAAGATACAAACAGGTATAATGTGTGTATATATACACAGACATGGCTACTATCAACAACAGGGAAAGACACAAAGTATGAATTGTATGTATTTACACAGTACTAGATATCCCAGATTCTGACCCACCTACACTCTGGTGGGGTAAGATTTATGCAGTTTCAAATGAAAGTGTAGGGGACTTGGCAGACATACTTCAAACCGCTTCAGTTTTTTATTGTGCCTGAAATAACACAGCTGAGCATAAATACAGAATGAAGTAATCCAGGAATCCTCCAGTCACTGCTAAAGGAAGAACCAGGGCGAGCTTCTGGTTTTTTGGGTTCTGGTCTGACCCCACCCTCCAAATCAAGAGGAATACTTTCAGGAAAAGCCAAACAAATTCATGTTAACTTAGTTTTTCAGCTACAGTTGTGATAAAGTACATTAGTAGACACGTGAAGATTTCAAATATCTTCCATACACTATGCAAAGTAATTATTTCCCTTTGGCTGAAAATACACTGACAGTGAGGTGAGCATTTCAGGAGGTACGTTAATATTTAATAAATATTCAGGTATTTAAAAACAAGTATTTGACAGCCTTTTTCCATGAAACATTTACAAGCTGAAAAAGACATCTTTTCTGTGCTTATGTCTAAAGGAGTAATTCTGGGGAGACAAGGAGCACGCACCTTGGGGTAACCCATCAAAATGCATTTCAGGAAACCTTTGCAACTTGCTCAGCATCAGACAGGTATTTTTCTGGTGTGCCTATGCCAACAGCTCTAGAAATCCTGCACGGTAGAATGCTCTGATTACGGCACAGACCCAGCGGTGATGCTGCACTTCACGCTGGGACAACAGCCCCCCCAACTTCCCAGGAGCAAAGCTCGGCGTGACGGCACAAGAGCCGGTGCAACCGCAGCCATCCCGCTGCCTGCTGCCAGGACAGCTGCTGCTCAGACAGCAAAACTCCCCGCAGCCTTCGCTGGTACCCCCGTGCCGTCGGAAACCCCCTCTACACCCGTCTGAACCCACACAACAACATCAGTGACAGGTTCGCTTGATTAAAGCACAAATATACTTATCGTTTCTGCAGCTGAGCATTTTATAGACAAGCTCTAAAGATCACAATCTATCTTAGTGGAATTATATTGGCATTTTACAAAGGCCATTACCTTTACAAATTCTTATCTACATTACTTTCACTGTTGCCTTCTATGCATTTTGGGATCTCTGCATCCCAAAGGACACTACGAACCCTTTTTTTGTCCACTACATCTTACATCTCTTCCTGCTCCCACGAGATGATACTGAAACCACCACTCCTCGCACGGAGGCCGTCCACAGGGAAGGTCAGTACCAATTCACAGCCCCGCACTCGTGCTCCTCTCACAACTGGGTTACAGTGGTCCTGCATTACAGCTCAAAGCAAACGCCGTAAGGACCAGAGGACCTGGGGAAAAGAAAGTGAACTGCCACGTCCTGACCTTCTGACACATTCAAAATACTGAGCTCCATCCAGGATGGAGCAAAAGGCAAGGCCAGATTTTGACCTGGCCAAAATGTTTCTCCCAAGCAGGTCACTAGCCCAGGAAGGACTGCATTCTGTCTGTCTCTTCTGCTGGCACTTGTTTAGGCTGGGTGGACCAGAGCGACTAGCAGGGCCTCCACCTCTGCTGGGTCTGTGTCAGCACAGCAGCCCGAGCCATACTGGAGTGGGACAAGGCTGCCACTGCTACGCTGCAAGAGGGGGGACTCCAGCTGGCGTCTTGTCTAGCAGCATCTTCTCTGAACTCCTGACCAGATACCCACCCCTGCCCTGAAACCAGCGGTACATTTGCTTTATTGCACTGAACAGACAAGACACACAGAGCGACTTTCTGCCCAGCCTCCGTGGGATTAGCATACCATTTTAAACACCATTGCAAAGAGTTATCTACCAGCTGCAGGCAGTCGGGAGAACGGTCAGAGGTCTAGACAACATGGCCCAGGAGGAAAGACTGAACAGATCCAGGTCATTTATCCTGCAGGAAGGAAGACTGAGGGGCCAAGGGAAACAGGTAAAAGCTTGCTGCAAAGAAGGGAACGATTTGTTCTCCCAGTCCACGAGAAATAATACCAAACTACGTATTAGGATACTGTGGTCTGGACGCAACCACCTAAGAAGACAGAGTCTCCACCAGCCAAAGTCCTTAAGAACAAGTTAGACAAACACTAACCTGGAGCAACATCAGTCACAAGTCCTGTCCGAGGGTGAGGACAGATTAAACAGCCTTCAGTCCCTTCCAGCTGCAGGAGTTTTGAACAAGCAGGAAGCCCTTAGCACTTACAGCACTAAGAAATTGAAACAGCAGCTAAGGTGATCTCTGTCCTGGGAAATAAAACCTCCCAGATCACATCCCAGTTTTCAAGAAAGTTCCTGCAAGCAGCATTGCTGCACGATTTCCCTGACCAGTATAAGCAGAGATCTTTTGCCAAACATAATACCAGATGCCACCTGAGATCAGACAGGCAGTGCTGGGACTTGCTTCCTAATACAGTTCTGGCTTGGAAAAAGAAATCCTTGTACAGAATCCTACAGCGTGTAGTCAGGCAGGAAAAACAAAAAACATCAAGCTAAGAAACCCTCTTATCAAAAAATCAAACAGACATCCAAACATCCACGGATCTTGGTATTTCTGATCTGACAACTCTTTGCAAAAGCAGTAGCTGCTCCAGGTCGATGCAGCTTTCGGTATCATTTTTGTCTGGTCCCTCTCAGAAGCCTCCACACACAAGGTGCACTCACCCTCCAGGTCTCTTCTTCTGCTCATTTGATTTCGTGTCTTCTGTTGGAGCCAGCTTCAGAGCACTGAGCTGCGGGGGCGCTCCCGGGTGCTGCAGAG